AAAGTTCAAGCAGCTGTGGAGAAATTAAAAATTCACCCTGGATTTAAATGAAGTCTATACTAGTAATATGAAAGAGATTCTGCTTTGTCCAATGCTGAAAATGTATTACAGGAACTTCTTTTTAAAGTATGATCATCAACTGGTCTCACTAAATGTTATATATATGTAAGGCAAGACTCCTCTAATTACATCACGTACAAACTTCATTTAAGTTTCATTCATACCTGCATTAGATATTTTAGAGTTGTTGTAAATTTCTTGTTCTATTCATTATGGTAAATTTCTAGCTGATCCTGTCTATGCATTTTCTAACTAGATGCTATTATACTATATAGCTTATTACACTTATGCTATTATTACTGCTGTAGCAGGAAATGGAAGACAGGAAATGAGAAGAAGAGATAATAACCTTTTTTGAGACCCTTGACCTAACTTCCTGTCATCATCATCATCATTGGTTTATTATTATATATTCACAATAAAAACGGCCTTGCAGTAGTAACTGAATTGCACCGTTTCATTACAAACATTTTAAAAGGAAAATGTCAGTGTCCCCATACATAGATCTTTCACTCTACTGCATGGATAAAAACTAGATCTACTATCACTCAAAGTGTTCATACCTTCAATATTCAATTCATGCAACATTAACATGACATTGTCCATTTCAAACAGTCACGTGGCTTATGTGCTTATTCTACAGTGGTACACATACAATTCTCAGGTTCCTGATTGGTTCTTCCACAATACCCTTCATTTCCTCCCAGCCTGCGGGAGGACCAATTTGACCTCCAATTCGACCTTCACTAATGTCAGTTAGTTGTTAAACCATTTTTCGTTCACATCCTGTCATTAGTCAACTGTATTCCAGATAAAACAAAACTTCCGCACACTGACTCCAAGGTACTCTTTACATCAGTTAAGTACACAACAAGTGAAAAAGAACTTTAAACATCTTGTAGTAACTGGTATTCCGTATTTCACCATCATGACAGTCATGATCCCAGTTCTAACAGTACAGCTTACCATATGCGGAGTTCGATTGATGGTCCTGCTCCATGGCGAGCTGAGAAGGGTCGGCGGGGCACTCTGGACCTGGGTGCTGGACCGTATTGTGTTGTAATGAGGAGTGGTGAGAAAGCTGGTCACAGCAGAAGGAGGGACATCACTGTACTCCTGGTTTAAGACTGGAGACTGGGCCATGCCTGTGTCTCTGCTCGGTGTAGATTCATTGTCCATGATTGTCTTAGTGTCTGCAAAAGTTAGGATGACACGTAGTGTGTTGGGATTACACAATGGAACAATGCATGATGGAATTGCTGTCTTGATACAACTTATGACAGTTAAGTGCTGTCTGTTTCATGGCAAAAAGTACTTCCTTCACACAGTCTTTCTTTGCTAAATTATGCTCTTCTCAAAAATGTAGGGTGTTTATAACAATGCAGTCAGTGATGGCTAAAAAGTGTCAGACCCACCTCACAGCACATCAGAGATACCAACAGCACTGGTGGTATGCCAGTTCCAAAGCTGATCAAAGACTCGGACTGCCTATTGAGCCTGGCTTGCAATATCAACGTTATATAACAGTTAACTGTTACTATGTTTGTAACATAGTGGTCACATTTCAGCACAAGCAAAGCATTAAGCAACACTTGGCAAACATTGTTGGTTGGGTGTGGAAAACGTCATTGGTAGGAAAATGTCAAAAGAAAGGTAACATAGACCCTCCTTGCATAAACCCTATAACCTCGCATAAACCAACTTGCATACAGCAGGCTCCATTGATTTATAACTGTTAACTTATAACGTTACAACTTACATGTAGTCCATATGATAGAGTAATGATAAAGTTACATCAAATGATTTGAGGACTTGTCTCGAACTTTTATCTGCTGAGGTTGCTAATAGGAAGGATTCTCTATGTGTCATGTATGCCCCCAAGTCCCAACTCTTTATTTAGCTACATTTTTCTGACCCGCCTGCAGACCCCCTGCCCCATCCCCCGTCCCCTTTCAGGTTTCTTCCCCCTTCCCCCGAGGGGGGTCACCTCGACTCGCTATGTTTAACTTGTCATTTGCTCTATCTAAACGTTAAACTACGAAAGAGTCGAAATCCTAAAACTCACCGAAATCAGCTTTTGATAACTGTAAACCTTATAAAAACGAGGGACGCAGACAGCGTCAGGTTCCTAGGAGACAACCACCAATGTTGTGTACGTCCGCCATGTTGAATCTCTAATTACCTGACAACTATTTCCCGGCATGCCCCGTTTTAAAGTAAAAACGCGGGAACTTTGGATGGCTTACTACGGATAAGGGGAGGGCCTTAGATACTAGTATTAAAGGAACAGCCGACACAGCTTTGAGCAAGGCTCCTTGCTTTGAGCATGAGCAGGACTGCAGTCCTCTCGAAATTAAAGTCATCAGCCGCGGGCGGCGCTGTGTCGCCTGACTAACCGTGATGTGCACGCCACATTCACATTGCTCTGCGAAAGGAGATGGGACCCTTAATAGTATGTAACGTTAGTCACTATAACGTTACAAATCAGACACCGTAGTGATCCAACGTTCACAGTACTGTCGATGTCACCTATTCCATTAACTCCTGTCTAGTCTCGTTCCGCTAACTAACATCATGAAGGTTATACTACTTCTGAAAGCTTGTGTGCAAACCAATCGCAAATCTATTGACTCGGGAGTGGACGTATTTGGGTAGTGCAGCTGACTGACTGTGACTAATATGATCTAACGTTAGTATATCAAACTGAACGTTTATGGTACAGCGTAGGATTTGCTTTACTGAACTGAAAAGGGTGATAAAAAGACTCATATTATGATCATTTGCAAACATCCCTACTTTTCGCGATATCGATATTTTCGTGACGCTTTCTGTTGCTGCACCGAGTCCATGGCCTGGTGTTTCAATCCACCACGGATACTGATTTTAGCCACTCTTTTAATCCTGTAAACTTGTACAATTGTCTTTGCATTTACGCCACTGATATGATAAACTGAAAAATGATGCGTTTCGCTGTCTTTTAGTGTAATTCTTTTCATTATTACAAATTACAGAACAAACCTTGTTCCGTAAGATTAGATTTATCCCCGGCTAAGTAACGTTACATCATAATACATGTATACCGTTAATACTTTATTCCAAGTAACGTTGCATCCGCCACGAAATATGTACACCAGAGATCACATAAAAATTAATGGGATTCAGAAGAATGCCAATATATACGGCATCGGGATTGACTCCTGATAAATAGGGACTGGGAGTCTCATTTGGTAAAATATATCCTTGGTCCGTACACGTTCAGACTACTCTGTAAATCACTGAAGCCCTTCACAGTTAATTAAAAGGATTAGGGGTTAAGTAGAATAGAATGTAAAGGGGGGAGGGGGTGTACCATGATAACTAAGCCGGCATTGCTAACAGAGACAAACGATTGAATTATCGAAATGGAGCTACGTTTTAGAACCGAACGGTGCAATAACTGCACCCCGGGTATTTCTCTACAGACGCTGCATTGCAACAACCGGAAAGCGTTGCTGGTCGCGCATGACATTTCAAAGAAGAATTGTAGCCGTCTGGCCGTTCGTCCGTGGCTTCATGTCGGCCAGGAGCGCACCTGCCTGCTGGCAGTAAGGCCGACCATCTGCCACTCGCGCTCTGATTCCCACAACCGCTCCACCAAATCCCCGCTGAACAGCATCTCATTAACCCACTTCCTTTGTAACCACGGTGTAGGGTACACATAAACCAC